TAGTCCGTCTTCTATCTGTCCTTGTGGAAGAAGGGCCATAGCAATGAGTTCAGCCAACTACAAAATTTCCAATTCCAAACTAGGGGATATAGAAATTGACAGCTCTAGATGAATATTCTTGCTTCTGGGAGAACTGAGCACATTTCTCTACCCCTTCATTAACTTAACAAGCTTTAAAAAAAAAACAAGAACATCAATGAAATGACTATTTCATTATGCAGCACTAAACTTTAACTTTTGTAACATGACACGTGCAATGAATGCAATCTTGTGGTGAATATGTTTGAGGTGTCTGCTCTAGTTTCTCTGAAAGTTATATATATATATGAAGTATTATAGTCAATTTTAGACATGCAGTGCTGAGCAAAAGGTAGCAAATAAGATTAGATATTTTGCACTGTTCGTTTCTACTAAAATTGTAACACTTTTCTTTTAACAGTCAAGGCTGAATTGTATTTTGTAGTTCAAAAATTAGAGTATCCTTTTTAAGTTTAGAAATGTACAAAAAGGAGAAATAAATGCTAAATGTCCATCTTGGTATCTTCTGACCAAATCTAAGCAGAATCAATAGTAGTCGAATTTGTATAGTAGCAGATAGTGCCAAGAGAACTTTTGATTGAATTGTAAAAGCTAACAACAAGCTTATTATACAGCATATTCTGTACATACAGTACTGTATATTGTAACGTATGTCTGTGTGTAAGACATCTAATACTTTTACACAACAGTACACAGATGAGTGCTGCAGTAACATGTCCATAAAAGGTTATTCGGAAAAACAATCAATATAAACATCCTCATAAATATAAAAATAAATAAATATAAAAATCTCCCCATGTTCCCATTTGTTTTATATCCATTTTTTCAAAGGTCATCTGATGTTAAAACTCACTTTGGCTTATATTTTCAATTTACAAAATACACAGTAAAAAAGTCAAGCTACTTATGAAATGCAATATAGTACCACTTCAAAACATTTTAGATGTTGTTCATTCTGTTTTTCGATGAGTAGTACATACTGTACATTGGCCCACAGTCAGAACTGGTGATTTCTAAAAGGCATAGACACTGAAAAAAACATAAAACTTAATAGCCAAGGCTGGCTTGGCCTATGAGTTAGTCACAGTACGTCCTTGAGTTTTATTTTTCAGACTCTGTTAGACATTTCTAGTAAACATGTACAGTATAGATGTATATTAGAGAGAGTTAATAGGAAGTTCACAAAGTGATGTATCCCTTCAGTTACCCATTTCACAATTCCCATGCTTTCTCTGAAGTTCTTTCTTCATGTATTTCTTGTGATTAAGGCAGAAAAAAAAAAACAAGGCAAAAGATGCCAATTGCACACATGTTCAAGAGTTATTTCAAGTTTCATGCGCTCTTCGCTACTTTCCAGTTAGTATTTTTGAGACACCTGTGTGGCTACACAAATTTAGTCAATTAAATGATCTTTGAAATATTGTACCCCCCCGAATATGAGCTCTTGGGTTCTAAATAGGGGTTTCAAAGCCAAAAGGTTAAAAAATTAAAATTGAATTGTATGCCTCTGGCTGGCTGGTCATTTCTATCACAACTCTGAAGAGAAGTAACCACCTACAATATAATTGGTCTCAGTGCCTGTACCTAGTGCCATATTCTTTGACTGGATTAAAATTTCGTCTTAGGAATGTGATATTAGCCATCTGGGAATTGTTCCAGTGCCTACTGGGAGAGACTGAGACGTGTGGACATGCTCCTTTGACACAAATTTGCTGAGCCATTCATTATTTGACGTCACAGCATGCCTGCAGGTTACAGAGAGCCTGACCAATTAACCCTAACTCCTATGAAGGACGTTCATTAATGTGGTAGCCTGGTTAGGTACCCTTATAACATGCAATAAAAACAGACTGATCAGGACTGTGAAGGTAGCTAGAACAACAGCTATAGCTTTCAGACATTTACGGTAAGCAAACAGCGCAGAGTCCAATATAATCACTGACTGTCATGACCACCCCTTGCACAGTGAATCTGAGCTCCTTCCATCTGGGTATCGATGTTGACTGCTTAGATTCAAGAGCAATAGACCAAAGTTATCTTTATTATTCCCACAGCAACCTACCTGCTACATTTGGACAATCAACTGTATATTTTACTTTATTTAATGTATATATTTATTTTCTCTCTCATTATTTGGGCAGCAGCCATATCACCCTGAAGCTAAGCAGGTGTGAGCCTGGTCAGTACCTGGATAAGAGACCTCCTGAAAAAAACTAAGGTTGCTGCTGGAAGAGGTGTTAGTGGGCCAGTAGGGGGTGCTCACCCTGCAGTCTATGTGGGTCCTAATGCCCCAGTATAGTGATGGGGACACTATACTGTAAAAAGGTGCTGTCCTTCGGCTGAGATGTAAAACTGAAGTCCTGACTCTCTGTAGCCAGTAAAAATCCCAGGGTGCTTCTCGAAAAGAAAAGGGGTGGTGTCCTGGCCAAAGTTTCACCTGGACTTTACTTATCATGGCCTCCTAATAATCCCCATCTCTGAACTGGCGTCATCACTCTGTTCTGAGCTGGTGTGGGGTGAGTATTCTGGTGCACTATGGCTGCCATCGCATCATCCAGGTGGGGTACACATTGGTGGTGGTGGAGGGGATCCCCATAACCTGTAAAGTGCTCTGAGTGGAGTGTCCAGAAAAGTGCTATATAAGTGTAAGGAATTATTATTATTGCTGTTCTTATTTGTTAATAGGTTCACGTTGTCTTAAATGTATTGTGTAATGTGTTATGTATTTTACCTGGCTGCAATGCAAATTAAGCCAAATAAGGTAACGGTTTAAAGAGTTATGCAAGTCTACTAGGGGATTCTTGACACCTTTAGTTGGTGGGATGATCCAGCTCTCAAGACGCAACATGAGAATGACAGAGCTCACCTTGTATCCCCAGTGAGAGGTTTTAATGGTTAAGCCAAAAGTGAAGGAACGGGAGAGTATTGTTTGACAAATTCTCTTCTGTTTCTTTTCGAGGGGATTTTCTTCCTAGCACACTGCCCCTTGGAAACCTTACTAAAGCCTTCCAAGCTTTCCCTCTCTTCCCTGCTCCATCTATTTTGAGTTTAATTTTTCTTTGCTTCTCAAAATAAACACAGTGTAATCACGTCCTGTGAACATCGTGTTCTGTACCTTCAGTCGTTTTGGATTATAATTAAAACGCAGGACAGGTGCTTGACTGGAAACCAATTTGTTCGTGTCGCAAATGGAAAAAAAAATAGACTCTTTGACACCACCTTTCCGTGGAGAGATAAGCAGCCCTAATTTCTCCACAAACCGACAAAACAATTCATGCTGGTTAAACAATGCAGTTCTGTGGTCTCTTGAATTGTTCAAGATATTGAATGCAGCACCAGTGCAATATACAGTATATGTTTTTGATGGTACTGTATGTGATTTTAAAAATAAATTTTCTACACAACGAAGTGATCTTCAAAGGAGTGCCTGGCAAGATTTTTTACAGTCTTAAAAAGTAGCAGCAGCTTATACAATTTGTAGAAATCTTTAACTTGGGCCCCGTGAATTTAATTTGTAATTAGGAAAAGAGAAGAGCAACTCCTTTTTGTAAGCCACATAATACAGTATATACTGTTGTTAAGTACTGCTCAGAATATGTCCCTTTATTTTATTCAACTTTTTGACAATAGGTATAAAAATAAAACGCACTATTTTAGACTAAAAACGAATTGGGAAGTACACATACCTGTTCATTAATTAGCGTTTTGTATTGTTCCCTAATTCTGCGCTGTGCGTAGGAATTCACAATGATAGTGTGCTATGAGTTTTTGAGTTTTTCTTCTTCCTCTTGACATCCGAAACTATTCCTGGGTAATTTTGTTTCAGCGAGTGAATTGCTAGTACCTAAGAACATCTCATTAGGCAGCAAAGTAGCTGACACTAACAAAGATGTTATTAACGTATCCCGAATATATCCTATAGCTCGATTTCGAAAAGTTTGAATAATGAATGAAACTGCTGTATTTCTTCCTTTTTAATGAGACCTTAATTATCTGTTTTTTTTCCAACTATGGAATGACGCCGTTTTGATTGTATTTACTGTAAAATATATGACATACTGGAAAACTCCGCTGAAATAAACTACGCGCAAGCATTATGTAGGTAATTCTAGAGCAACATCAACGTATGTTAATCTGATGTTTTAACAGACGGGTTAACATAAGATTTATTCATTTCAATGCGGAAAATCCTCTGTGCTTTTGAACACGGGTTCCATATGGATTTTTCTTTTCGAGTTGCCAATATGAACACTTTCAATCACAATCCTCAATCGGTTGAAATGGAACATCTGCAAAACTGGTTCCGCTTAGAACTTCGTTATGTACAGTAAATACTGTATACTCGCCGCTACGTTTTTGATGGCTTCGGAAAATGTGATATTTGTAGATCCCTATCCGTTTGACTAAACTCATTGAGCAGTTCCGAAAAGCATGCCCCAAACCCAGTTTGTGATTCCTGTCAAGTGGCATACTGTAAATGTAATCCTAACACTATGCAAATATTTAGTGCTTAAGAAATCAAATTAAACGATTTTTCTATTATTTACATATAGTGTAAACTGAGTAATAAACCCACTTTACCGAACTCCTCATTTGAAAAAAAAAACTAAAATCTTTTCTGCTTATTCAGAAAGCACTGTTGCAGTAACTCCGCTCAGGATATGCGTTTTTCACCAAATTGAGGTTTTGATTTTATATCAAAACTCCATGTATTCTATTATACTGCAAATATTTAAGAATGCAGAAGTTACGTTTAAATGCTTTATGTAACATCTAAAACCGACATTCTTTAACCTCCAAAATATCCTTAAAAGATAGTGTAATAATACATAAAATATTAATAAAAAACATTTCAAAGTACACCCCCCCCCCCCAAACAAAAACAAACAAAAAAGCATGAGCATCTCTTTCAATACATACATCGCAGCTGTTTTTTTTTCTTTATCACAACTGCTCAAAATTCGATAAATATTTCTTGAAAAGTTTATAGCGTGTATTTATTGACCTGGGTTGGTGGGAGTGGGTTATTTTCAGTGATGCGGCGTGACTAACAGCTGGCGTAGACGAAGTGGGCTTGGTTGATAGCAATTTGTCGTTGATTAATGAAACGCGAACCTCTTTAAAAACGTCTCTTCAGCTTTCCAGTTCAAACATCACTCCATCTGTTGAGTAAGTAGGCGGCCGGCTTCGCGCGTCTTGGAAAGTAACTGGAGAGCAACAGAGCTCCGCTCCTCTCCACTCCACTTGAGTTGCTGGGAGGAGAGGTGAGGGACGGGGCGAGGCTGTCATGCACTTCCCCGTAAATGTGCTGTTTTACTCGGGGGCCATGAGGAATTTTACCGACGAGAATCAGTCCTTGGGTCTGAGCGCAACCGACGGCTCCATGGCAGGCGCCGGCAACGCCAGTTCCTCAAGCAACGCCAGCGACCCTTTCGGCAGAAACGAAGACGTGGCCAAAATCGAGATTACAGTTCTAAGCATCACCTTCGTCGTGGCCGTGATCGGGAATTTGAGCGTGCTGCTGGCGCTGTACAGGACGAAGAAAAAGATGTCCAGGATGCACCTCTTCATCAAGCACCTCAGCTTGGCCGATCTCGTAGTCGCGTTTTTCCAAGTCCTGCCCCAACTGTGCTGGGAGATCACCTTCCGCTTCTCCGGGCCGGACTCCCTCTGCAGAATTGTGAAGCACCTGCAAGTCCTAGGTATGTTTGCCTCCACCTACATGATGGTCATGATGACCGTCGACCGCTACATCGCTATCTGCCACCCGCTGAAGACACTGCAGCAGCCTACCCAGAGATCTTACATTATGATCATCGGCACATGGATATGCAGCCTGGTGCTCAGCACGCCGCAATATTTCATATTTTCTCTGAGCGAAATTAAAAACGGGTCGGACGTCTACGATTGCTGGGCGCACTTCATCAAGCCCTGGGGCATCAAGGCGTATATCACCTGGATAACGGTCGGGATCTTCCTCATCCCGGTTGTCATACTCGTGGTCTGCTACGGTTTCATCTGCCACAGCATCTGGAAGAACATCAGGTATAAAACCAAAAAGCACGTCGGGGAAACTGCGTCCAAAAACGGTCTAATTGCCCGGTCCTCCGTAAGCAGTGTCAGCACCATTTCCAGAGCAAAACTGAGGACGGTGAAAATGACTTTTGTGATTGTCTTGGCTTACGTCGTCTGCTGGGCTCCTTTTTTCATTGTGCAGATGTGGTCTGTCTGGGATGAAAACTTCTCTTGGGACGGTACGTGCTTAATTTAACGTATTGATATTTCTTTTCTGTAAAGCACTGCATCGTAGAAATGAAAAGCAGATTGCAACCTCTGAACAAATCATTTTATGACCGGGCTAGTAAATTACAATTAATTGTCAAATGCTTGCAGGCGCTGTTTCCAGAAATTGTGTCATACTTCTTACTGTTCCACATTCCACAGACACGCAATGTTTGGGCGCTATGATTCAGTGCTTCTGAGGTGTCTTCAGAATATTCGAAAACTTTGAAGACATGAGAAATGTAAACGACATTAGTTTCTCTTGGCTTCCTTAATTCGTAAATGCAAAATAAAATTAAAATCGTACAGTATCAACACAATCTGCCTATATATCTGCGTATACTGTATACGCATACTGTATACAGTATATAGATAATACTTTAATAATCCCGTAGGGAAATTGATGTGATGTGTAAATTGATATCAACAGTTTTAGAGTAGCATATACAGTACAGACGTTATATGTTTAGAAATAATATTAATATTATAATAATAATAATAACCCAATATTTTTCTTAGAAACTTTTCTTTTGGCGGGGTAAACTCTGGAGACTTTTCGAAATGTCCATATTCCTTATGTTTATACATTGCTTAATATAAGTTTGGGCCGTGTTGAAAGTTTAAAAAAAACATATTGTGTTCCGTGCAGTAGTTCTCAACGACTTTTTAAATGATAAATTCGGCACGACTGCGAAACATGTAGGCTAAGAAGGAGCTCGTTAAAGGCGTGTTAATGAAATGAATGTACTTCTATACTTAACCCAAAAGACTTGAATAAAGATCATCTATATTTTCGTTGGTATATACCAGAAGTTTAAAATAAACATGAGGTAGAACGAGTGCCAATGTACGAATATGAGTAGGTTGTTACTGTATTTGTAACTCTCGCACTGGTTGGTGACTGTATTTTTCTTTACGTGTGCGTTACATATGTCAGACCGAAGCTTAAGCAAAGACTTGAGTCCGGTCTCTATAATGAGCCATTGCTCGCTTTTTCTCCCCTCCTAGAATCGGAGAACACCGCGGTGACGCTGTCTGCGCTGCTGGCCAGCCTGAACAGCTGCTGCAATCCGTGGATTTACATGATTTTCAGCGGACACCTCTTGCAAGACTTCGCCTTGTGCTTCCCCTGCTGTCAGAGGCTACAGCAGAAGTTCAGGAAGGAGGATTCAGACAGCAGTCTCAGGAGAAACACCCTTTTAACCAGAATCAATAACCGGAGTCCGACATGCAGTGTGGGGACCTGGAAAGACTACGACAATTCGCCCAAATCCTACAGGTCCATTCCGGCGGAATCCTAAATCTGACTCCGATTTAATCTGTTTATTTCATTTTTGATGTATCAGTTTCGAATTTTAACGGCGCAAGAAGAAATTTTATTATTTTTTTAGAAAGCTTTACTTCAGCTATCGGTCACCCGACGGTTACAAGCTGAGGTTGTATTGCACAAGCCGACCTACTGTACAACCTACAGAGTTCGTTCATTCAGTAGTATAATACTCCAACAGCATAAATGACATACAAAATAAAATATTAAACATATTTAGAATTTGTGAGCAACAAGTGCAATATTTTAAAGCTAAGCAGCACTAGCTGTTAAACCTCTTTATATTTTTTTTCTCCGCGTTCATTTCATTCCTATTAGATTTCACACGTAGTATTATGAATCTGATTCATATCCTATCACACGTAGGATATGAATCAGATATGGGACTGGACCATTATCTCCATAACAGTTGTACATATGAAGCCTGTTTGGTCTCATTGGTTTGGCTCTGCTTTATCTGTGATGAAGACAATATGCACGTATTTTATATATGTTTTAAATTTCGACCTTGCACCCTTGGCTAATTAGTAAAACGCACACATATGCTGGTCAGTATTGCTGACTGTGAGTGTTTGCATGTGTGTGGACCAGCTAAAAAGTATGCATGGTTTTATTTTTGGTTTTGGTGAGAAACTGTGTGTGGTTGATTATTTATGGCTAACCTGTGGGAGCAAATGATACACCACAGAAGGTCCGTTTTTCACATCATATTTGATAGGATTTTTTTTTTACAAAAGTGTACTTCCAACCCCAAAACAATGCTTCACAAACTGTCAAACATCACTAGATAGGCAGAGTAACATTACAAAACATTTCCTGTTCTACTTGAGTATGAAAAAGTCCAGAAGAATTATTTCAGTGTCTCATGTTAACAAATAAGTTGTTCGCCGAGAACATGAAGTACATTTGTAGCGGAGCATTTTGGGGAGTTATGGTGGTTTTTTAGCATGTTATATTTATAGGTTTGTTATTCGTATTATTTGCTTTTTCCAGAGTCTATTTATTGATTGTATTTGGTAAATAGTGTATAGAGAAAAATGTCAAAAAGGTTGTATTCTTGATTATATTAGTACAGTACATACAAATTTATGTTAAATTTAAATATGGGAAATTGCTTGAAGTAATGGTAAGTTAACTTTTCTCAGCTGCTTAAATAATTGCAATTCTGTTAAGTTTGGTCCTGAATGAATCAAGTACTAATGCATTGTATAAGACAAACGGGCACTTTAATAACGTGGAACAATATTGTTTCTAGTATCTACATAAAATGTCACAGGGATTTTCAATTATATTTCATTTCAAAAGTTCAAAATAGACTGTCGGCACAACCAGAAACTCGCAGGTGTGGTTAATGTGTTCTTTTAAACAGATCTCAAGATTAAAAGTTTTGGCTTCTGCTGAATGCGGAGTCTTGGCAAATCTTGGAAACTGGAAGTCAAGTCGTTTTAACACATTTGCAAAGTAATTAGTCTGTCAGAGTGAATATAAGTGGCCATTATTTTTCAGCATAATAACTTTCCATTACAAACATTCCACCCAAAACTCCATTATATTGATTTATTTTCTTCAAGTGAATATAGCTGGCCATTATCTTGCATCATAATAACTTTTCTTTACAAAACTCTCCACACAAAAATTCAATATACCTACTGTACTTATTGTGCTGTATGTATTGTAAGTGGGGGCTTTGATCATGCAAATGTTCCTTAACAACTCATTGCAGTTCATTTACTCATTTTAAATACAGTAGGTTTTAAAATATTTTGCTTGTTGCTGGTCAGTCATTAAGAGAGCAATGGTGTGCAAAATATTTCCAAAAATATACAATCTTTCAATAGATCAATCTTCTTATTGCCATAAACCCAGGGTAACTGAGAATACTGAACTTGTCATATTTTTTTTATATGTGGCATAGTTCAAATAAAGCAAAATCACTTACTCTGCATAAGCGTCTGGACTGATGTGCTGGGTGTGTTTTAGGCTATTGTGTAGCCTGATGTAACTGAAATCCAATCTGAACATTAAATATTCTTCTTAATGTCAATTCAGTTACCCCAGTAAATTCAAATGATGGAAAGAAAATTTATGGGAGGAGAAGAATGGGGAAATATGGAAAACAGCTCAGAGTATTCAAATCTAAGCACCACAGATTGACAAATAAAAAGTGTCACTAAAGTAAGGGGATAGCAGTGCATTTTGTTCTGCATGTGTTTACTTGGTGTTTATTATATGAACAACACATTATCTAAAAAAATCACATTGCTTAACACCTGGAGAGATTTTTTTTGTTCTCTCTTTTTGCTTTTATTTAACATTTCTTTAAACGACTTATTAGTGCACATGTGATGTTCCTAAAGCTATCAGAAATCTGCAAAAACAACTTGCAATAACATTCTTAGGTAAATATCATACTAGAAAAAACACACAGACTTTATGCATATCAGTAGATACCCAACTGTCATATTCCTCTCTTTTCATTATGAGGCCGGAATAGCTCGGAAATTGTAATGAATTTTGGCGTAACCAAAAACATTTTAAAAAGGAAAGCTCCGCATTAATCGTTAGGATTTGTACAATATATAAAATGCACTAAGATTATTCCAAGCAAATGTAAAATTGTTTTGTTTTTGACAAGTTCTGTGCATACTTTTTTTGTGGTGGTCTCTACTTTTACTTTGTATGCAATAAAAAAGAGAAATATCTTAAGCATCTAAAGACAAAAATAAAAACTCTATATGGACAGGGCCTATACTGTTATGTTTCTATTGATTTAAAATGAAGATTTTATAGTGCCTAAATGACTATATGTGTAGCTGTATAATGTAGCTATCTTGGGAAGATGTCAGACATTAAATTAAATATACATGTGATCATCTTTTGAGTTAGTTAGAAAATCTTACTAGCATTTAATAATAAACAAGCGCAGAATATCCACAATTCATACTATGGGTGTGAGCTATGTGTACTGTAGTATTTTCTTACTGTGGCTATCTCTGTTATTTTCCTCATTTCTTGGTCAGTTTTATGCAGCCTAGGACAAGTTATAAGTACAGAGACAGAGTGTTTACTCTTCAAGAGTTAATCGACAGCCCATGAAGGTCCAATACCATACATGCGTTTGCTGGAGACTGCACCTTCATACATACTTTACTCATTCTTGAAAGATGCTTGTTTTCCTAATATTTATTTTGTTAGCATACACAGAGAACAATAAAACTATTTTAAGCTTCACAGCAGCCATGAGAAGGAGATTACAGTGCTCTTTAAAGCCTTGGGGAAAAAAAAAACACATCATTGGCCAATTAAAAAGCAATGCCATACAGAAAATGACTTGGGTAATATCTTTTTTGACACATAACAATGGCCTAAAGGAGTGATAATTCTCAGTGTCTGACCATGCTTCATTATGATCATAAATGTCAAATGCAGCACAATCGGATTTGCGCCCTTTTGGAATTGAATTATGAGGTTTTTGCAGACTAAAATCCAATGCAGTCGAGAAAATTGGACACGGAAATGGTCCTAACCATACTGTCTTTTAATTCTGCCAAAAGATAACCGGACTCCCTAGGAGAAAATATGAAAGCTGTTCCCTTGTGACAGAGGAGAAGGGCTTGAAAGAAATACTAATTTCAGTACTACAGGTCCTGGAGGTTTTCAAAGATAAGTCAATTTCTTGCTCTTTGGGTATCACTCAGAATTACTTCTGTATGTGTTACTTCTTGCTTTTGTGGAATAGAATGTCAATACATGGTTTTCACTCTGGTTATCAACCATCTTCCAAAGACATGTTCAGTCAGACTTGATTGCACTGGTTCCATTTTTCTTGACCCTGCGGTAGACTGGTCTTCAATCCATGGAGAGGGACAGCACCATGCTGATGACGTCTTGTTACTTATTGATACCTACAATTCAGTCCCCTACATTCTAGACTTATATGATTACAAATCCTATTTTTGTAAACTCCGTTGAATGCTACAGTATGTAAAATAAACTGATCAAAATAAATTTGTGATCCTAATTTCACTCCCACTAAAACACAGTAAATCAATTCTGTTATATACTGATGGAAAAAAGAAACGCAACATTTTCTGGAATGAGAAACTATAGTTATAGCTTATGTACTTTCATAAGAATTTGTCCATTTGTTTTAAGCCCTCTGACGAGCAAAACAGCTTGTGCAGTGAGGCATTGTAACTTGCCAATCACACGAAAGCTCGTTTAGGTGCTCGAGTTCCAGGTGGAACAATGCCTGGACCTTTAAAAAAGCCTTAATTCAAAGCTTAGGTCACTACAAGAAAAAGGCCACACTTAGTCAGTTTTCTGTGCATTCCATAATGCCTTGAATGTCACCAGAAGCAAGGGAGAGGGCCATTGGCATGCTGCAGGCAGGCATGTCATGTGCCAGCGTTGCCAGACACTATGGAGTAAGCCGCTCCACTGTGTCCCGACTGCAGAGAAGGTCTCAGCAGACTGGCAGGACAGATGACTGTCCAAGATCTGGTCGCACTCAAGCGACCACATCAGAAGAGGAAGGACACATCAGACTGGTCCATCTGAGAGATTGTTTCAGACCCACCACCCGTACTGCTGCTGAAACCGCCGGCAGACACAATGCCTGCATCGGTGACAGTGAGGCTCCATGCTGCTGGCCTTAGAGCAAGGCGACCTGTCAGAGGCCCTCTGCTCACACCTCCTAGATGTCACACCCGACTCAGCTTGGGCCAGACAGAAGCTGCAATGGACTCGTCAGCAGTGGTATCAGGTCCTCTTCAAGTGTGAGTCACTCTTCAGCCTGTTCCACGCAGACGGGAGGGCCAGAGTGTGGAGGAGGAGGTGTTGCATTTCTTTTTTCCATCGGTATACAGTATATATCTTTGTTTGGATTGGTAAGCAATTGACAATCTTGCAGTGCCCTGAAGCTTACACAGGCGTGACTTCAGCTGGTTTTAAATATTATTATTGGGCTTTCCACTTAAAGGTCTTTAGGACATGGTTGGATGTGATTGGATCCCAGTTCATTTGTTTTTTTATGTTTAATTCAGGAGTCATTAATTAAACCAATCAGATTTCAAGATTTATGTCCTGACCACAATGACAGGACTGTCTTCTTTTTTAATGGGCCCATTTCTATCAAACATATTGGATATTGGGACAGAAATCAACCTTTATCTTGGAATTACTGTCAAGATTTTACAAACTCATTGATTTGGAATACTTGTCTCTTATTCACTGGGTCTCAGTTTCGTGCTTATTCACCGTGGTCCATGCTAGATTCCCACACTCTTCGTGACTTTTCTGATCACCTGAATATATATTTGTCACATTTAAAAATTTCTATATATGAAATATTCTCTCCTTTGATGTTAGTGTAGTAATTAACCACCTAATTTTCACTTTTAAGAAATAATTTAAAATTTAATAATTCTAAATTTAATTTTGAAATGAAATTACCTTTTTAATTAATCTCAGTTTTACAGCACACGACAATTGCACAAGAGTATTTATTTCATTGTCTGTTCTGAATACACTGGACATTATTGCTGTGGATGCCTGTGGCCTGCCCTAAAAAGGAAAAAAACAAACCCTCAAAGGACCAATGTCCTTGTTTTAAACAAGCAAATGTTAATTTATGCCAAAAAGGACAATCGGTCCTTTAAAAACAACACCAGATTGCCCTTTTATTAGAATCACGCCCATAGTCATTTAAAAAAAATAAAAATAAACCCACTGCACAACACTTGCACGTTATTCATGAGTAGAATAATGAGAATACACTTTCAATGCAACTTCTAAATTAACAACAGGTGGAGAAAATTGCCCTGCTCTAATTGGTAACTCTCATGAGATAACAGGCAGAAAATGATCAACAAATCCAGTGGGTTTACTCGGAAGGCACATTTTTACATTTGTATTAAACTTGAGAGAAATAAAAAATCATAGCCATTGATTTATAGTAATTTTATCTCCATGTATTAATGAACAGAGAGCACAGTTTGGCACAGACAGCATTACCGGGAGAGCAAATAAAATATACGTTTTATATATACTTCTTTTAAGTGATTGCTTCTGAAAAATGGCAAGACGTTGTAACATTTGACAATGTCTGTGGGTGACAGAACTCATTTCTAACAGTACAGACTTGTGAATAAGTTATTCTCTCCCATTTTCTTATTGGTCTATACCAAACGTTCATGTGAACAACACTGTTTCTTAAAAAAAAATTCATTTAAAACCTATCATTTACAAAACTATCTCCATATATTTCGATGGGGGATTTATAGCTTTATCATTGTAGAGTCAAAAATCAACTCACAGACAAATGTTTTTTCATTGTTAGTGGATGGAAACCAGAGGCCAAAGATGAGCTTTTTTTGTCAGTTGGTTTCCTATGAATTATTGTCTTGAAACTAGCTTTCATCCCAAAGATAATTTAATATCCAAAACATGAATCATTGTATTATTGTATTCAAAGGTACATTTCAAATGGGAGCTCCACTAAATCAGACGGTTTCACTAAATATCCGTGTTTTTCATTGCCCTGTCATAATTAAAATGTATCTACACTGTCAACATATTACAAAAGAAACATTTTTTCTTTAAACAGATCACAAATTAATTGAAAAAAATCAAAGTTTGCAATGTATACATATGTAACATCAGGGAACATATTGCACCTCATAAATGTCCTTGTGGGAAGAAACTGTCTCTGAATCTGGAAGTTTGTGCCTTTTTGCTCCTATAACGCTTGCCAGAGGGAAGGGGGGAGAAAAATGAAAAACCAGGATGACTGGTATCCTTAGCGATACTTCCAGCCTTCCTTGCATAACATATGCACATTATTTGTGCATTTATAAAGCGATGTTTAAACAGGCATAAGAAATAGGGACCATTAAAAATTCGAACTCGAATATTGCTTTAAATAGTTCAAATCCTAGTGGCCATTGGCCACTAATTCCACAAGGTTTGTTTTAGAGTTAATTTATCCTGGCTCTCATGGCTATTATTAAAACAGTAACTCCTGCACTTTCATTAGAGTATTAAATCTGTTCATTGAAATATGCATCCCTCCTTCAAGACTAACACCTCTGTTAGCCTGTATGAGGCTTACAGCATGTACTGTATATGTAGATTTGGGAACTTTGTAGCAGCCTAAAGCAGCCTCAATAGCACTGATCAAACTATGAACTATGAACTATGTAGGCAAACACTACATAGAGTGTCATTATTCATCTCGAGAAATTTGATTTTCTTTATTTTCTCAATTTGTGTTCAAGCATCATCTAAATGAGTCAACATTTATTCAATCCTATTTCCCTCAGTGACAGTTAAAGAGTTACTGTAAGTAGTCAACTTTTTGTCCCAGAAACAAAAGTGCTCAACAATAGTATGTTGTCTTCAAAGACAAAATTAATTCAGCTGAGACTACAGTTGATTTTCTCTTATACCGGACAAAGGTACCTTCATATATTCAAATCAATTCTACCCATGAATGGGACTTCACTGTACACTGTATTTTATAATTCCTAAACTGATAGGGATAAGCTCTAAAGTATGCTGGAATAAAGGAGAAAGGGCTTAAAAAGTGACAGTCATTCTGCTATGACTGTTACTGGTGCATAAACTAAGAACTAGACTGAAACTGAACGTGTTTTTTTACTCAGGAATCCTGTCTTTGTACAGAATAGGAAATGATGTAACTGATTAATATACAGTAGATCAGTGTGTACATACAAGTAGCAAAAAGACAACCTGATTTCTCTTCTGCCTGTGACAAGACAAATGGCTTATCTTTACTGGAAGAATCATCTCTAATTCAGATGTACTGGAAAATGGCAGGGGTGTGGGTGTGGGGTATGAGGTTGATTGTCATCCTACTCAAAGCAGGTCTCATTGTACTATAGCTTTCTGGTGCAAGTTTTGAAAAGCAGCTTTTGGAAATAACTGCCTCAGTGTTGTCCAACACATTATCATGGATTAGTTAGCATGCTACCCAAGAATGAAATGAAACTGACATACCTAGAGCCATACAACACATAAAAATACATCAATTTCAAACAATTATCTTCTTGAACACAAGAACAAAAGGCTTGACTTACAGTATATTCACTATTCAAAGCATCTACAAGTGTGTTTAGGTATTCCTCTATGTGTGTATGAAGTATGACACATTCAACCATAAAAGCTTTAAATGCTGTTCTGAAATTTGTATCAGTGAAGAAAGATTAATTAAAAACATAAAAAAACACAATAACGATGCTGTAATGTGCCTATTAGTGTAATTGTTTAACACTGGCACTGCAGGATACTTGACTGCAACATGAAAAACTGATTTTCTTTCCTTTCTACCAATTAGTAAGACAATAATATTAATCTTAGGTGACATTAAAAGATCTCTTTGTACTGTATGTCTGGCTATATCTTTCTGTGATAAAAGCCAAATCAACATCAGAATAAAACATGAATGCAGAGAAGCCACTTTTTAAATCTCTAGAACAGTACAGTATAAATACAAAACATGTGTCCCAGATCACAGTGCTTTGCTTATATTGGATTCTAATAATAATATTTTGTAAAAACCTTTTATACTTCAGACCAGTGCTGCTTATTCCTGATCCCGGAGAGCCATAGGGTCCTCAGATTTTTATTATACCTGAACTTTTAATGACTTGGTTAAATCAAAACATTGACTTAATTGTCAGACAATCCCTTTGTCTCGATTTCAACTGTTTCCAGCTCTTTGATCACAGAGGAGTTTGAGCTTCTTTGTAAAACCCACAAGAATGTGTCTTTCAAGGAGCTCAAGTGAGCATCATTACTGCGGAATATACTGTAGTAAAAAATATGAACATGGAGACGTTTGTCAAAAATGGCTTATTTTTAATTTAGCCACACAGTTTAAAGTGGAGAGTGTTCTACTTTTACTTTACTTTATAGGCCAAAGAGTTCAATTGGTCTAATTAAGATTTAATGAGAGAAGTT